AAATCAAACTAATATTAAATAAATAAATAAAAACAAAGAATTAAATATAAATCAAGGGAAGTGGATTTTGTACTCACAATATTATTTTGAAGATCAAAGAAATATTTAGAGAACTAAAAGAGCCCCCAAAACAAAACCCTAATCCTTTTTATTTTTTTCCTCTCTTCCTCTCCACTGTCGCCGTTCCTCTGCTTTCTCAAAATTTTCTTTGTTAATCTCTCTCTCTCACTCACGCCTACGGCTGCCGATGGGAAACTTTTCACCAAAAGAGATTAAAACCTACTTTGACTACTTATATAATATATATATACAATAACCTAATTTCCTATCCTAATCTAATATGAATATTATAATATAATATATTATATACTACATAGAATTGTAATATACATAAATATAACATCTTTTTTTTTTTTATAACAAATATATATATATATATGTGGATTAATTAAATAACACAATAAATTTATTAATTATCACATTAAATTCATTAAATACCACATTAAATTTTTATGTGACCACACAAATAATAAAGTCAAAAATAAAATAAGATAATAATAATCATAATAATAAATAAATGACATAAGAAAATTAGGGTCGCTACATCTATGTTTGCTTGCAAGAAAGCCTCTAACTCCCTTTCCTCCTCCTCGACTAAGTCTAAGCCGAGAAGGAAGAAGTGCTCTTTATCATATTCTGTTACTAGAATCTTCTTCAAAGATTCCTCACTCTTGTCGGCTAGTTCTTTGCCAACATTATCTAGGACCTCCATGTCCTCGTCATCAATTTCGACTATCTCTGCCTCTTGCACGTTGTAGGCAGTAACAGGGGAGCCTTGCGCTTATGGATTGGAAGACCGAGAAGCTTCTTTAAGTCTTTTCCAGGGAAGAAGGATTGACGGAAGTTTTTTGGTGGTTGATGAAGATCTGCAGGACAAGCAAACAGACATTAGAAACAGACAAATTTTAAAGACTTAAATAAAAACAACTAAGCGTTGGCACTGGGCTCTTACCCTTGCCCTCTGTAATTGTTCGAGGAAGAGGGTAGAGGTGGACATCTTCATCTGGGCCAAATTCCCAATTTCCCGAAGCGATAACAAAGTCATCCCCAGCCCCCTTGTTGGAGTCTGGGAGGTCGGCTACAATTTTGAACTCGGTGGACCTCGGCTTGAGGTAGTAGACATAACCTCTTTCCTTCAGGTTAAGGGGGCACATGGTATAACAAAATTGGATATCAGAAAGGGTGATCCTAACGTTCTCTTGCCTGGCCAAGGCTATGATACAGTTAATCACTCGATAAGAGTTGATGGTAAGTTGCATAGGGTTCAACCTGTAGTAGTGGAGAACCTCGCGAAAGAGGGGATTTAGTGGAAGCCGGAGTCCACATTCAATAAAAGCTACAATCGAAAAGGGCATCGTATGATCTGTGGGCATGATGGAATCATCATCCCCAGCTAGCTTAAGATGAACATCGGCTGGGATAGAGAATTCCTGCCTAAAGTATTCGAGTTTTGTTGAGGTATTTACCCTATGCCTCCACATACCCATTACGTCGACTTAAACAAAAGAAGAATATGTTTCAGAAGATGGGCGCTTAAAGAAGGGTTGCAAAAACCTCGGCAAAGACCTAGGAAAGGACTGATAAGGCTTGTTTCAGTTTTCTCTAAAACTTAAAGGTTCTACACAAAAATCCCAAGCCTAAGAACTATAAAGATCAAGATCGAAGGCACAGATCTGGGACAGATACGAAAAACAGAAAACAAAGACGAAGTTTCAGATTCAAGAACAGAGGTATAGTTCTCAGAAACAAAAGAAATACAGAAGTAAAAAAAAAATCAAGAACAGTGGCAAGAAAAATGTTGAAACAGTGCAAATGTTCAAAATATGAGAGAAATCGAGCAACAAAGCGGTAATGGTAAAAACACATAAAAAATTGGGAGTAAAGGAAACAGGGCCTTACCAGAACAAATGAAGTCGGAAAGAACGACGCCGAGAAATAGTAACAATTGCAGGCACAATGAAACGGAGGAAACTTTGCTAAGGTGAAGGGACAGAAAATCGCAGAACTTCGAGTTAGAACAATGGCAGCTTCGAAAGAGCTTCTTCAGAGAGAAAGAGCAAGAAATCAGAATAAAAAAGTGAAGAAAGAAAGAGGCAAGGAAAAGTTTTGACAAAAACGTGAAACGGCGGCAAAAATAGGGCATTTATTACGCCTAGAGCAACGCACGCGTCAGACGGCGCAGACAAATGACAGACGGCTTTCAGGCACATCACAGACACGCTCCAATGAAGACAATACACGTGAAAAGAACGGTTAGATATGCATGACAGCTCATGCGCGTGAGAGAGTACGTTCGAAACCTTGTTCTCCGAAGAGAATACATCGGCTCGAAGTGGATTATCTCGGCTAAACGGTTTTTTTTAGCCATTACTCAGAAAAGAAACGTCGAAATATCGATATAGGTTCCATCACCTCAGAATGCTGAGGTAATAGAACCTAGGGGGCAGTTGTGGGGATATATTTTCTGAATACCAACACGTGGCATGGTGACGCCGACGTGTCAGCCGAGGTGCCACGTGTCCTGGTCGTGATGCCGAGATGATCTCGGCAAGGCCGAGGTTAACTCCGAAGATATCGGAATCCGAGATAAACGAACAATGGACAAGAGTCCTAAGACGAAGAGGGGACTTAACCAAGATAAGGATAAAGCTCTTAGGGAGTTTATCTTTATCTCTTAAAGAGTCCAAAGTAAGCACTAAATTGGAGTTCATAGAAGTCATACTTCTAGTAGGACTTGGATTGAGTATATTATAAAAAAGAGGCACCCCCGTGGGTCTAAGGTATGCAATTTATGTTTTGAGTATTAAGTTTTGCACTTGATTATCTTTGAGAGATATACTGACTTGATCGTCGGAGTGCCCCCGGGTGGAAGAACCACCGCCGGAGCCTTTTCTTTCTGTTATAGGTTACTGAAGCCATCTATTCTGCCTGTGCTCTCCAGCTGGTTACTAAGCAGGCAGTGTGGTCAGATTTTCACCCACACAATAACATATTCTATAAAGTTTCAATTTTACAATTGTTCAAAATCCATTGTAAAAGAATCATTGTCTAAAACACTAAATGCCACCTCAAATCCATCACCCATCACCTATCTATATCTTTAATTTCAATTTTCTTGATTGAAACTAGCATATAAAATACTAGTTCTATTGAATTAAGTAATTTGCTTGAGTCCAAAATAAAAAATAATAAACAATGGTAAATTACATTTATGGGCCTCTGGCCTCCCATACTATAAGCCTGTACCATACTAATGTCCTCATTGCATATGCAATAACATAATTCAACTAAGATTCATAGTCTAGTCTTGCCACAGTTCTTGTGCCCATTAATTTAAAGTAATCTGTTACTTATTATGGCTATACAATAACTAAGGTGATGAAATAACAATGTTTTATGTTTGTAGAATTGTGATCTTATATATCAATCTAGCATCAATTCAAGTAGTCATACAAAATGGCCAACCTGATAACATGAGTCAAATATAAAGTAATAATGACTTGAAGCAGATACATTTGAATTGGATGAAACAAACACTAGGTGCGGCAAGGGGCTGTGAACCATAAACCAAGAATGTTCTATTTTTAGCATGCACACTATAGATTGAAATCAAAAGTTGGTGTCTTTTTTAAGTGGCCCCATGGAGCAAAAAACTTGTGTGGAAAACAAAATCAATGTTTGACGTTGTCATTAGTTAGAAAGAAAAATATCAGTTAAGCACCTTCTCTATCTTTAATTCCTAGAAGTTGATAAACTCTTTGATATCCCCTTTGGTTGATTTCACAGATTTGTGCCCATGCCTTCCGATACTTCTCTTCCTCACCCTGTGATACAAGTTATGCCATAGGAAATGAAAACAAATAAGATAAATGATGAGACATGATGAAACCTCGAGATAAAATCATTAACCGGATTTTCTTCCAAAACAAAGAAACAAAATTTACAGTTTATAAATCAGATTTCCTCCAAAATAGAAAATTGAAAGTTATAGCTTTTAAGTTTTTTTAACAAATGAGAAATTTAATTATTACTATAATCAATCTCATAGGTCTTTAAGGCATAAAGGTAAATGATTCACCTGGAGACTGACCACCGCTTGTTGTGCCCTCTTCTTAAATTCAAGATCACTGTCAAGTCTTTGTTTTGATGCCTTATAGAATGCCTAATGATAGCATTCAAGTTAAATCAATAATACCCACTTTCGTTGAATTTCATGACTCATTTCAATGAAAAAAAAATTGAAACGTGCTAATTAGTTGTCTACGGCGAAGGCATAAGTTGCTCAAAGCAGCACAAGCAACTAGTTACTTGAACTGTTTGCTAATATAAGCAAGGGACTTTGTTGCTTGAACGTAGCATCAAAAAATATTCAAGTAACATGAAGAAGTATTCCGTCTGTACAAATTCAAGAATTTGACCTAATTTCCAAAAAAAAATTCTCACCACGAGATCTCCGATAGCTTGATCATTGACAGCCACCACGTTTGGAAATTTTTCGAAAAGAAATTCAATCAGCATACCAAACTACAGAACATAAATAACATCTTTAAGACATAATAGGAAAGTAACAAAAAAAATTATCAAAATAGACTTTCATAATTCAGACAACACATAGGTCATAATATTATCACCTTCTAGAGCAGCAATAATCAATAAAAAATTATAATTTTTCCACTTAACACAATAAGGGCCTGTTGGAGTTCCTTCTCCAATCACATATCAAGGAGGGAAAAGGCACTGAAGAACTTAAAACCACTATTTCACCCAAGAAATTATTTTGATCCAAATGAAAAGGTTAACTCATAAAATGGGACAACCCATTACTAAGCCTCATAAAAAAATAAATAATTTTGACAGAACTTATATAAAATTTCAAGATGAAAGAGAGAAAACAAACACACAGATACAGATATGCATGTGCTCACACACACACAAACACTTACCTGTGTACCCCAGTCACCAACATGGTATCTCCGAAGAACCTCAACATTTGAAAACTCTAGCATGCGGGGCTAGAGTGTCTCCAATAATTCTAGATCGTAAGTGGCCGACATGCATTTCTTTAGCAATGTTGGGTGAGGAAAAGTCAACCGCTGCCCTTTTGACTGTAAGTTTCGGCGACCATGTTTCAATACCGTTTATTAGCATCTCTTGGCTACTCTGCAGTAGCAACAATATCTTTTAGCAAACAAGATTTTCACACCAAGTGAACTAACCAAGATAGCCCATGATTTTATATTGCTATCCATTGCTTTAAAAAATTATCAATACCTTTCCTATTCATTTTTTTGGGTGAATAAGTCATAAAATAAAAGACAAAAGATTACACAAATACAAGGGGAATTCCCCTGGCCCTAATAGAAACAGACAAAACACCCAGCAGAGCAAAAACTGAAGAAAACAAAAAAACTACCAACAAACTGCTAAAACCAAAACCTAAAGGACCACCACAAAAACAGCAGCTCACTGAATTAGAAAGCTACCAAACCCAGCATTGCAGCAAACAAAGAGAACCAGCTTGAATACTAGCAACAAGAGACAGCCACAAGAACATCAGCACACAGACAGCAGGCACACTGCCATGCACCATTACAGAAGACTCTCACCATGTACCACAACAGGAAACTCTGAACAACACACTGACAGCAGCAGCACCACTAAGAGCCATGAAAGGCAGCCAGAGACATAAAAAAGGAGCGCCCAGCTACAGCAACTTAAAGAATTCCACAGAAATGGATGATTTGCCAACTACCTCCATAAAGAGATCCTGAAAGGCCAAGAGATCAACACCACAGTGGAATATTCAACAAGCACTCAAAAGAAAAGGATTTCCTGAAATAAAAGCTCTGTCACTCAGCCCACTAACTCTCAGCAGACTACCCTGCTGCAAACAAAGATAACAAATATGCAAACTCATATCACTCAACCCTCAATATAGAGTAAACACACAATCTCCCCTAACTTTTAACTCACTAACACTCAACACACATCCCTAACAAAGAGCCAGCTTAGGACCTGCATGAACAAACAGTTAGAAAGAATTTGAGGGCTCACATACTCAACCCTCAAAGAAACTCACTATATCACTCACTAACCTATTTTAGGACTCCCATCACTCAACCATCTTCCCTACAGTGTACCAGTCAAACCTGCCACAGTTAGCTAACGAATCCAAAAAAAAAAAAACACTAACCAACTTCAGTGTACCTGTAAACAGAACATTAGCCATTTGATTGAACAATAGAAGGAGAAAGTGACCACTCCTTTATATGCTAATCATTAGCCTGATCAGCTTTAAACTTGCTCACAGACAACAATCTATGTCTGATCAGATTTTTAATCCTACTCAGCACAGAATTCTCATTAGACTTTTTTGATTGGAAAATTCTGTAATTTCTTTCATGCCAAATACAAAAGATGGAGCAAGTAAGCACAAGTTTGTAAATGGTAGTGGACAAAGATGAGAGAAAAAGCAGCCAAAAAATAGGTGATTGTGGTCCTCATTTTGCTCCTCACACAATACACGTGTAGCAGATACACTAATACCAAACATAATCATCCTATCCAAGGTGCTAAGTCTATTCTGGAAAGCAAGCCAACTCACAGTGCTAACTCTAGGAATATGACACTTAAACCACAGCAGAGTAGACGAATTAACCTTGGGACCCTTAGGCCTCCATTCATTCCAAGCTGACTTTATAGAGAATACACCATCAGCAGAAGGTTACCAAACAATCAAGTCCTCACTCAAACTGGGTCTCAAATGCTCAGGTGTGTACTACTCTTGATCTCATCTAACTCCCAAGTCTGGCAACTAGGCCACCTCCAAGTAAAACCATTGACAATAGACTCAACCTTAGCCTGAGCCTGAATACCAGAGTCATATATAACCCTATCCCCAAACTTTCTATGAAGAGGCCCCAAAGGATGCCAGTGGTCAAACCAGAGAAAAGTCCTCTTCCCATCACCAATTTTGCCTCTTATTTTTGTCCATAAGCTCATGGCAATGTGGCTGCCTCAAAAGAAATCCCCAATTTAACAATTCAAAAAAAATATACAAGAGTTTCCATTGCTATAAAAACCTGAGAAATTTTACAGGTGAACAACTCAAAACTTCAATTCACATATTTCCATAAATGAGCAATACCATTGGTAATCACCAAATCTTGGATTGCAAGCAGCAACAAGAGGCTCAACGTCATACTCATTATAGGAAGCACGTATGAAAGGAATAAGAAGTGTATCATCTTGTAAGAAGAACATTCAATTAAGTATTAAAGTGTATCATTGCTTCAGAAACTGTCATGGCAATGGGATTATGATTCTTTTTCTGCTTGTTCTTAGGAAAAATGGTTTTGATGTGACCTTTTTGACCGCAATTATAGCATGGGCCAACTTGGTTTTTGTTGTGTTGTTATTTTTGCCATCCTTGCTGCTTTTTCCACCCTTTGTGGAACCCCTTCTTTCATTTTTTCTTGAAAAAAGTAGTCTTTCTCTTGTTGAATGGCGTGTGCGAATTATTTTGTGACTGTGTCGAAGATTGTGCCATCAACAAGTTAGAAGACAATCTTTCTTTACGCCTTCGCTTCATTCTTTCTTCTTCCAAAACTAAGAGTACATACAATGTTACCATTGAAATCTCTCGTCCGCTATGAGTTAGAGATGTGACAACATGATCCCAAGACAATAAAAGACTATTAAGTATGGTAGTTACTAGCATTTTGTCTGATAAAGAATGATCAACGTTGAGTAATTCTTTAACAATTAATTCCATTTGATTAACATGATCACAGACACTATCATTTTCACTCATACGAGTGTTATTGTATTTGTCTAAGAGCAATTGAATTTGAGTGTTTAATTGAATGCCATACTTACATTCTAGTGCTTCCATCATTTGTTTTGTAGTTTCATGTTCTTCAAATAGTGGAATAATATTGTCCTTCATATTGTGTAACATGGTTGCCTTTGCTATTGCATCGTCTTCTATCCACTTGTTTTGAGTCCAATTTGAATCATCATTTGGTTTATAAGTGGATAGAGTGTACAACGTTTTCTCATGTGCAAGAAGATAAGAAATGTGGCACTTCCATGCTCGAAAATTAGTTCCATTAAGCACCTCAATTCTTGAAGCATCAATAGCACTTTTAATAGCCATTTTAAAAATGTGTTACAATAAAAGTAACAAATATGGATACACATGTCACGACCCAAACCCGCCCCTATAGGTTTAGCATCGTAACCGGCCAGTAATCCTTGGATTACCAAAGGCCTCTTAGCATGATAACATATTGCAAGGGCTGTGGAAGCAATTAGTCAAGATATACATAGTCCATAGAGCTGTGCAAACATACATGGAACCGATAACTTAAAACTTTTTATAACAGTGATACAAACTTTACACATCACTTCCAGATACACATTACTAGGCATTTTATCCAAGTACAACATGGTATAAACATAGCTTAACATGATTACAAAAACAGCCATGAAACTTGACTTCAATCGGAACCTCCTCGGGAGGCACAAAGGTTGGTTGACCAAAATTGAGACTTAGGCCATCAACTCTGGGCCTGGTCACGTGCCTGCTCACCTACATACATAATATAAATAGTGACCTAAAGCCTAGTGAATAACAACAAAGTAAAGACTTTAATGAATGTTGTCCATAACATATCTTAAATCTTATAGCAAAGAGAATCATAATCAGTTAATGGAACAGAATCATAATCTTGTCCATATTCAAATTCATGCGTGGTACACCCATTAGCACAAACATGTTTCTTAGGTCAAACTTATTAAGTCCCATAAAGGAACCTCTGGTACTGGGTATCATATCTCATACATCGGTCATAGTATTATTTCCCCCGGGCGAGGGCCTGTGCCACGGTATTGTTTCCCCCGGGCGAGGGCCTATGCCACGGTATTGTTTCCCCCGAGCGAGGGCCTAGGCCACGGTATTAACCCCGGGCTAGGGCCTCATGACCATAAGGCACAGTATTATGTCCTCTGAGCGAGGACCTCTGCTAAGGATACCACAATTACGTTCAAAGAAACTTGGACAATCATTCATTCATACAAAACATAGCATTTCAGAAACTTATCATCTCATATCATCTGAAAATAATTAAAGTTAAACATAACTTTATAGAGTTATTACTCACAGATAATTGGTAGCTTCAATCAGATGGTAAAGTGAGCAATTCACTTATCTTGAGGCGTGTGACCTACATAACATGGTAGATACATACATTGAATACACACACTTGGTTTAACATAACTTATTTCGTTGTTCTTAGTGTGTCTTTAGCCTTTAACCTCATTATGGAGTCTTAAACATGGCCTAGGAATGTCTAGGATGGAATGAGGATGCAAAAATGTACTTGAAACACTTAGCCAAATTTTTGCGGAAATAGGGGTCTCGCTCGAGCATGGCTTTCTGCGCTCGAGCGGACATGCCAAAAGTGAGTGGTCGCTCGAGTGTGGAATCCTTCGCTCAAGCGGTCTGTGAAATGTGAAAAAGTTCTGGTTGTAAGAAATCTTCGCTCGACGCTCGCTCGAGTGTGAGACATAGTTCCTCGCTCGAGTGCAAGTATTGTCGCTCGAGAGTGCGTCTAAATACGCAAATTCCTGAGAGCTTGCAATTTACATTCAAGCCATCCTTTTGTCGCTCGAGCGGAAGCATGAAAACAAAGACGGTCGCTCGAGCGTAGGATCCCTCGCTCAAGCATGGAAGCAAAATTCTGAATTTTTCAGATTTGCTCCCAAGCTTCAAAACATGAACCTAACACCTCAAAACTTATCCTCTTAGGCCAAAATTTTGGAAAATATTTAGAAACTCACAAAACATCATGGTTTAAAGATCATTTCATGAGATCAAGGCCCAAAAGTATGCCAATTGAACAAAATTCTGATATAAACTTTATGAATGTTTCAAGAACTTAACATGCAAGAATTTTCTTGAACTGAACATCTTCAAAACATGATCAAACTTGACAATTGGATAGAAAACATGATGAATAACCAAAATGTAAGTGAGATTGACACATGCATGAAAGAAGTCTTTGAAAGCATGCTCAATTTGTGAAGAAGTGAACATGCATGTATGGTATAACCCAAATCTTCCCAATTCTAATGCAATTCCTGCATGAATTCACTTAATTCATCAATAATCTTGTAGAACCCAACTTAATTACTCAATTAAGAGTTTAATCCCTTACCTAGAGGCTTGAATCTACAAGAGTTGAAGTTGAAACCCTCTAATCTTCTTCACTTAGACAACAACTCTAGAAATTCTTGGTTTTGAATTCAAATTCTCAAGTCTTGGACCAAATCTCCCTTCTCTCCCTCACTCTCCCATTTGTATCATCAAAGGAATGAATTGGGAGTGTTTGGTTCTCAAAGAAGTCCACTAATTCCTTAATTAGATTTGGACAAAAGTGTAATTAATTTAAAGCCAAATAAAAGGACATTAATTTAATCTAATTTAATCGTTCCAAATTGACTTTTAATTAAAATTACCATAAAATTCCATAAATTCTAATTAACATATAAATCAAGTCAATTTCTAAGTCGGAGGCCGATAAGGCCTTCAATTCGCAAATCAAAACGAAGACATGAACAGATCTTTTTACATTAAACAGATATAAACACAAAATGATGCAATGCACATATAATTGACTCAGGATTTCTCCTTAATTACTTATCTGGCATACTTAAACATGAATTAGTGTTAATCATAGGTCGGGGTTGTTACAACACAAAAATAAAATAAAATAAATTACAATAAACATAACAACAATTTTTAATAAAGTTGTGCCTTGTAGTTGTTGAGTCAACCCCTGCGATAAGTAAAATATCGATGTGGCAGAGGAACGAAGTTTCCTTGCCTTGGGTAAGAAGAATAATGAAAACCCAGTAGCCAATTAAACCCAATCCTCTTTTTTTGAGTCTTATGAAACTAGGTACGAGCCCTAGGAACACAATTTCGCCCATAAAATGTTTTTACTTATGATGTTTCTTTAGGTAGCACCCTTAGATAGCCTCTTTTTCTGTGTATATCTTTCATAAGTTTAGTACAAGGATGCATAGAAAAATTCTTAAAATAATTCTGGTGATTTTGGCTTTTGAATTACTAAAAACGGCTTTGAAATGAATGAGAACGAGCCAAAAAACCACTCATAAGTGGGTTCAGCCGGTTTAAGGGGTTGGCTGAGCTAGTTTGAACTAGCTGGTGATGAGTCGGCTCAACACACAGGTTAACACATGGGTCAGCATGCAAAGCGAACAGGCACAAGTCAAGGTGCAGAGCAGAAGGGCGCAGGTTGGGGCCAACACGCGGAGCGTTGGGTGTTGGGCTAACGCACAAGTTTGGGCGCTGACGGATGGGCCACGGCTCTGGGCTGCGTCTCTGTTGTGCTTGGTTAGGCTGCTTGTGCCTCTGATGTGTTGGGTTGGCCTAATCTAATTCTTTTTAATATTTAAGCCCAGTGTAACAAATTTTCTTGCTGTGAGTCTAAGTTTGGACCTTTTATTTTTGGTTTTGAATTTGGCCCAATAACTTGAGTTTTCGAAACAAATACAGATGCACCAATGGTATTATTGCTCTGGTTGTCTTCTCCGGTGATGGGTGTCAAAGACCAAACTTTGAAATTCGATTCTTTTGGGTCAATCCTTTGTCGTTTTTCATAACAAAATTTATCGTTGTGATCAAAAGTCTGAGAAGAACAAGATGGTGCTAATGTGGAGATGTTAATGGAACTGAAAATTATTTCATAAAATTTCTTCCACCGGTATACTTC